AGCCAAAAAAAATTGCACACGTATGATGAAGGGATGACATCAGCAGAGTATTATATGTATTTGGCTGATAAAGCAATAGGACAAAAAGGAATTAAAGAGGCATCTGGCCCTCTAATTACCAGGGTGTTTTGCACTGACCTCACGATTGGACATAGATGAAGAGACATGCTTCTACGTCGAGGATGACAAGCGGCCAGCATGGCTTGCTCCTTATGGTCGATTGTTTTTACTACGCGACTGCATGGACAGCAATCGCGATATCAGACGAGGAGCAGCGACGTCGGCGTTGATGTAGAGAGCGCAGCCAGATCGGGTTTCACAAGTGGGCTCTTCCAACAACAGATGGTCGATACAGATCGTCGATGCTGCATCACAAAGCACGGCAGGTGGCTCAGGCGTGTGTTTGTGCAGTGACAACAAAACGGACGGGTCGGCGATCTTGCATGGTAAAGGATAATCTGGACGTGAGCACATGTATGCCAAACCATGGATCATACCAGTAGCAGCTGCACGTTTGCTGTTCCACGTCGTCAACAAGAGGTTGATTCACGTACGGCAGCGACGGACGCACGTACAGAAGCAACAGCTGTCTCTTCCTTGCATATACTGAACACATGGCCATGCATGGCGATCTGCTGGCCTGCTTGCATATGCAGGACCGGGCATCGCGGCTCAAGCGGCCAGAAGAAGACGAGATGACGACGGCGCGGAACAGTTCAGAGATAGGTCGAAGCTTCCCCTTGAACGGCTTTGGATCGTGTGGGCGGCCGGTGAGCCAAGATCCCAAGGCAAGGCGGCGGCGGCAGATGAAGATGATGGGCGGCAGCTAGATCAGGATTGATTGGCTTAGGTTTGGGATTTTAGAAAAGAAACGATGACACATGCCTGCTATTTATATAGAATAAAGATGGCATATGAGAAACGTCGTGAGAGTCCTTGATGTACATGACTTACAACTTAGTCACCGGATGATCCAAGGAAAGAGAACTAGTCGGCTATAAGAAAAACCATAGAAAGACAAAAGCATGGGTGCTTCCTTAAAAGATCATTTTTTATATTATATTATACCATCACGTTAAGGAAAGAAATGCAAGGAGCATAAAAATAGAATTGATAGGAGATGGATTAGCGAGCCGAGACAATTTCGGTGACAGAAAAAAAAACGTAGACATACCAGAGAAGGAAGGTCGATTTACCAAACACGTTTTGAAAACTTTACTCACTCTCAACATAAAGTCACACAACACGCATACATCACAATAAAATATATGCACCAGCATGTGTGCACAAAAATGTTGCTACGGGCTATGGCAAATTTTATAATTAAATAAAAACTTATTATTTTCCTATGTTTTTATGAGCAAAAAATATAAAATTTAAGCAATTTAACTCTATTTCCAAGAAAGCAAATTTTAGGGTGTTACAAACATTACCAATGCTTTGACTCAGTGTCCACTCCAACTTTTCTTACTCTACTCCAAACTTGTCTAGTCAAAGAAGTCTAACTTCAAGAACTCTGCTCCAAGAAAAATATGGAGCTGAAGGCCAACTCCACGTTTTTTTGAGCTCCTCAAAGGGTACTCTAGAAATTGAAGTTTTGCATCTTCTCATGGAGTTGGTGGAAAATTACCCATCACTGCCACCCATTACACACATAACGGATCATACCCCTTCTATTCTTTTCTGTAGCGTTGCTGCCTCCCACCGATTGTTCTCAATGGTGTCGCTCTCTTCCCATCAAATAGTACCACCATCGTCGCCTATTCTAGCCACCCCGGCATTTCTCCGGTGAGCTGATGTAAGGAATGGATAGATCCGAGTAGAGCTAGAAAAAGTGGAGCAGAGCAGCCTCAAACAGGCCCTTAGCCATTCTTGATTGAGACCTTGCAACATCTTGGGTTCTCTAGAGTTTGGACTAACTAGATCTCAGTGCTCCACTCTACAAGTACCAAGCTCATGATTAATGGCATTCAAGGGAACATGACCTATCATGCCATGGGACTTCGATAGGAGGGTCATCTATCCCCGATGCTCTTCCTCATGTTCATGGGAATGCCTTAATAACCTCACTTACTGCATGTGGATACAAGACCCTACTTCAAACATTGGTTCTCTGGTCCATCACATACAGGGCATTGCTTTTATGTGGATGATCTTGTTGTGTTCTTCTTATGGGAGGTCGCCTTGGGACATTGTGACGTTCCAGTGTCGTGTCACTCCGATTTGCTATGGCCAAGACGAGGTGGAGACCATCTAGAGTTTTTTATGTTGTCCCATCAGCGACCTCCCATGCTTGTACCTGGGGACTCGCTCTTCTATTAATCACGTCACGTGTTTACCAAAGTCAGCTATTCTATAGTTGGTGGATAGGGATGCAGACTGTTTGCTACTTTGGAAAGACAAGTTCCTAAATAGGTAAGGTCGTCCCATCCTCACCAATACTAGCTCACTGCCATATCAGTCCATATTTCCATTTTGGTCGAGCTGCAACCATGGACTATATGTGCCATCGACAAGATCCGCAAAGCATTCCATATGTGTGACATATAGACGCGGTGAACAATGGTGGGCATTGTCTGGTGGCATGGACAAAATCTTCCAGACCTCCAGAGTTGAGAGGGACTCGGCCCCCATGACACGAAACTCCTTGGATTAACATTTCAGATGCGTTGGGAATGGATCCGACGCACTGACTCAACAAAGGCCTGGTATGGGTTTTGGTCGCACTTTGACAAGACGGCTAAGGCTAGGGGCTTCTTTGTCAATAAGTGTTGGCAATGGGCACTGCACACTGTTTTCGAGAGATAAATGGATTGAGGGTCGCTCCATCTGGTCAGCACACGCATTCGAAACTCTAGCATGGTCAAGGAGGGGCTCTCCAATCATCGATTGGTCTGAGGCATTTCCATCTCCGGTGTAATTTTTGTTTGAGCAATTTTGGATTATTAGCATATATATCTGGGACTTGGTGGAAAGCCCAACCCTCTCAGACACTCAAGGTGATTTCTTGTGGAAGTGGACAGGTGATGCCCAATACTGGACATCAACAGATCCCTTTTTGTGGGGCAAACAGTAATCCTCGACACAAAGCAACAATGGAAGTTAAGTTGCCAAACAACTGCAAATTCTTGATGTGGTGGGTCCCCTTGTTGTCGGAGAGGTTGCAGATGCATGGGTTGCCTAATAGAAAGAGTTGCACAATTTGTTCACAAAAGTCTAAGACACTATTAGCCCTTGTTGCTTAACTATGTCTTTAATAGGGAGACTTGGTTCAGGGCCCTCAGATCCTTTGAATAACAATCCCATGACTGGCTGCCATCCTCAGAATCTTCCTGGCCAGACTTGTGGCTCCGAGTAAGGAAAATCCTTCCAGAGCCTCGGGGCATCGAATGTTTGATTCCCAAGTCATCCTAATCTCTTAGAAGATCTGGAAGGAACACAATGCTCGGGTGTTCAGAGGACGACAATTGCTTCATCCTATATAGTTGGCCAAGATATTAAAGAGGAAGCTGGTTGATGGTCGCAAGCCAAGTTAATCATTTTGCCTATTGTATCACAATAGTTTCAAGTGTGTGGCTCGCTCGGGGCGCTTGCGTGTGTGCTTGATCGGATATGTGGTTTGGTAGTTTCTTTTCTCTCCTATCTGTTTTAGTTGGGTCTGTTTTCTTCGCATCGAGGCGTTTTGCATGCTAGACATCTTAACCTCTTAATGAAACACATGCACGGTACGTTCTAAAAAATGTGTCTTGATTTTAGATGCTCCATGTTGTGCAACCTTAGAGCCACAAGTATTGGTCCTGCATGCAACGACATGCCTACCACAATAATGTTCAGGCTCTGTTTTTTGGAATCTGTTGGCTTTGCAAACTCATTTGCATTTATTTATTATTATGGAGCTAAGAGGTGGTTAAAAGAATCTTTTGTAGAGTTAAATTCGCAAACTTCTACTAGAGCCGTGACGATTCAATAAACTCACTACATTCTCAATGCAGTCAAGCACATCAAAGGAAATGCAAACTAGGCCGTTGAGGTATATATCACCAATGCCTCTCATGCTGACAGCATAATATTTCTATGGACATCTTATAAGAACAAAAGCACAATGGGATCGAGAAGGCTGATGATGCCACTCATCAATCCATGAGGTCTCCATTCGGATTGAGCAGTAGGGCAATCACATCTGTTTTGTTGTGTGGCAAACAAAAAGGATTGTTTATGATTGTTCTTCTAAAATGAATGCTTGTGGCTTTTATTCTACTGTCATAAGATTATATTGCCATCCTTTTATTTCGGTGCCAGTGTCGAGGACTTTTTGGCATGTGCACTTTAGAACCCTTGGCTTGTCAGATCATCTTAATTGATTATGATGCACATACATGTGTTTGGATATGTTTCAGAGTATACTATAATCTTTAAGGTAATAAAGACTGTAGATATATTTAATAAGGGAAAATAAATATTAGAAGGAAATTTCCCCTTTGAATTTGTTTTTTTAAATACACCTTTGATTTGTAAGTAGTAATAGGATTCCAAATATTAGCTTTTACCATTCGATTATTTTGTGGTACTAAATTATGTAGTGCAAATGTGCAGAAGTTTCTTCACATTATTTTAGCAACAAGCAACATAGTATTGGAGATTGCTTTCTCGCTTGTAGATCAGAAGAAATCCTAGTTAGTCTTCCAAAATCAATTCAATTCTTATAGTAAGTTAACTCTCTTTCAATTATTTTGTTTTGAGAGGATGGGTCTTTCCTTGGCCTGTTGTACTATCTTTTCTACCTTAATGAAATGGTACACAGCTCTCTTGCGTAGTTCGAGAAAGGACAGCAGGTTTAATTAGCTCCTCCTTTTGCTTTTATTTTGCAGAAGCACTTATAGTAGCAGAAGGCAATTGTTTTTTCAATTTTCACATTTTTGGAAGCTCCACTAAGACACTTTTGCTTTAGTCAAGAACAGAGTAATGAAGGCGGGGCACATCAATGTGAGTAGCCAAAAGGAATGAAGTGGTATCAGGTGTGGAAATTAGGCTTCGGCGATATGAAGGGTGTTACAGTTCCTCGCACAAGAGCAAGTCCAAGAAGACGCATATGGATATCAGTGGTTGTAATATTCATCGCCATCACTGTGCTATGGGCTTATCTTTACCCACCCCAGGATTATACCTATCCTGTTAGGGACTGGTTTCCCTCAGAACCAACCCGGGAACTTACTGATGCAGAGACTGCTGCACGTGTTGTCTTCAGACAGATCCTCTCGACGCCTCCTTTCATATCAAGGAACCCAAAAATTGCCTTTATGTTCCTGACCCCAGGCAAACTTCCATTCGAAAAATTGTGGGAGTTGTTCTTTAAGGTATCCAGTGCCACTTTCTTTTGTGTATATTCATGCATACTTGACAACTTTATACATGATATTAATTTTGCGTCCTAAAGGATGACTTAATAAAATACAAATATATTACTCTCCAATTTAAAGTACAGATGGTTGATGTGCAGTAATTTTGTTTTCTCGAACTATGCAAGAGAGATGATGTCATTTCATTAAGAAAATGAGTACAAAATGTACAACACCAAGACACCAGACAGCAACCCAATGCACTAGATCACAAAAAGCAAACACACCGGCTTCAAACAAAGCAAGCGATCACATTTTTTTCGAAAGACATAGGAGAGCTACATGTCATTTCATTAAGAGAGAAAAAGAGATACAAAGGTGAGGGTAAAACAGCCGCACCTGAAAACGACCATAAAATGACCAAAAGAAAAAAACATATAAAAGGTCCCAAACACCCCGAGCCAAAAACACCACAGAGCGTCCTCCTCTTCTTCCATCCTCACAATCAAGGAAACACTCAGGACAGCATTGTTGAAGACACAATCATTGCGGTGTTTCCAAATCTCCCATCCAATGAAGATGTGCAGTAATTCACCAGTCATAACTAAGATCAAAAGTGCATTAGTTGTCCATAGGCTGCATCATATCTTTCATCTTTCATTTCATGAAATGTGTTCTTTATTGGCCATTGTTTTATTTAAACGTCCTTAAATCTAAACCAGAATCCGATTCTGTTATATTACTGGATTTGCCCCTAGTACCAAACCACAAGTGTACTTTGTTCTGAACCTATTTTTATCTTTACTTTCGTTATGGCACCATTTGAAAGAACAAGGGATACATCTTACTCCATTTGTGTTTTCCATGCTATTCATCTTATCTCTCTAGGGACATGAGGGGAGATACACTATATATGTTCATGCTTCACGGGAGAAGCACGAACATGTCAGTCCCATATTTGTTGGTCGAGACATACACAGTGAGAAGGTAATGCTATTAAGGATGAAGCCACGCTGAGCTTGTGTATTTGTAAGATCACAAGGTAGAAATATGTTTTGATTTACTATGATTTCTTATATGTCTGACACATTTTCTGCTGGATTTTTGAGTAAATGTGTTATAGTTCTTCAGAGTTTCCAGTGATAATTAATTTTACTTAGCCATTGTCTTATATATCTAGTTATGCATATTGAAACACTTAAAAGTACTTGACATACTGTGTATAGGAATAAAGGCACAGGATGCAGTTTCAGAATATATGCACATTTATGCTGAAAAAATTATGGGACCACAGTTCCAAAATTTTAAAAAATAACTTGATGCACATATAACATGCATGTATGCTTGAGCTGGAAGTAGAACTTATCTAGCAGATTGTTTCCTAATATTATTTGTATTCATATATCTGCAGATAATTCGATTTGATAGATTTGGTTCTGTCTAAGAAGTATAGCCAGTTAGTGAGTAGATAATTAATGTTTGCTGCACATTGACTATATACCTATACGTGTTCCGTAGGATTCTGATATTGGCAAATTCCTAGCAGGTAGGATGGGGTATGATTACAATGGTTGATGCAGAGAGGAGGCTGTTGGCAAAAGCTCTAGAAGATATAGACAACCAGCATTTTGTTTTGCTTTCAGACAGGTGATCCCCATATTCGAAAATACTTTCTAGCATGAAGAACTCCCTCACTATGTAACCATTCCTCATACAATGAATTCAGCTGTGTTCCTCTTCACAATTTTGACTATGTGTACGACTTCCTCATGGGATCAAGACACAGCTTTTTGGACTGGTGAGACAATGCTCTGTCTGAACTATGCTGCATTCATTCATATCGCTAAGCCATAGCCTAGAGCATTGCACAGATCTTCAATGCCATAGTTCTTTATATACACTTGCCAATTATTTTTTTCCGGCCATTCACATTCTTGTGTATTTATTGGCTAGTTTTCACGATCCCGGGCCACATGGAGTTTACAGATACTCAAAGAATATGTTACCTGAGGTTCGGGAGTCAGAATTCAGGAAAGGTTCTCAGGTGACCTTAATATTGCCTCTTTCAAGTTCACAAATTGTGGACATTAAGTAATCAATGGGCTAGAAGGCTAGAAAGCATTGTTGATCAATAAGAATCCTCTTTTTTGTCGCAGATAATCTACTTTATTTAAAATATAAAGATTTATTTCCCCAAATGCATTGAATTTATGAGGTTTGTATGGACTCCAAGTACTGAAATATGTCTACAATACTATTCTTTGAACATCGCAGTGGTTCTCAATGAAGCGACAACATGCAATGGTGGTGATTGCAGACAGTCTTTATTACTCAAAATTCAGGCTTTATTGCAGGGTAATCAAATCTAAATTTTCATGCCCTTCCATGCATATACTGTATACTTGAGGACTAGCATAGTAATTTTGGTGTCGTGTTGTAGTCATAGACTGCACTACGTTCTAGCTTTCAGTTCACTCTTCTTTCAACTGATTTACTGTTTCTCCCAAAATCTAGATCCTCCACACTTTACCTCTATTGCTATTCGTGTACATTTTTCCATCTGTTCTTTGTAAAGTAATCTGCTGCTCTCCCTCTGTACGCGCGGCAGGGGCAGGCGTCGAAAGGGCTCTCCTGCTGCTGCACTGTAGCCACGGCAGGGGCAGGCGCCGAAAGGCTCCCCTGCCGCACTATAGCCACGGCAGGGGGCAAGCGCCAAAGTCAGCCCTGCTGTCACATCTAGTCACTGTAGCAGCATGACAGCCTGGCATGTCTGTGTACTAGGATTAGATGGGTAGAGTTGTATGTATAGCTTCCCACTGCAATTCAGTGAAGAGAGAGAGTTCAGTTTTGCCATCTCCTCTGTAGAGCTCCGGCCAACGCTGGTGCTTGTGTTGTGTGTGTGCGCGCTCTGTTCTCCCTCCCTCTTCTACCTCCAGTAGCCGTACTGTGTGTACGAGAACGCTGGTGAGCGGTTGGCTCACCCGTGCGGGAGATCTCGGGACAAACAAGTGGTATCGGAGCCGTACAAGCGCCGTCGCCGGACTAACCGCTGGCGATGACGGGCGGTTTGGAGATGGACGACAGCAGCGGCGCTGTTGTGGTTGCCCAGCCACGACAGGAGGTCGTCGTGCGCACGGTACGAGAGGTCAGCGGCACCAGTTGGCCGACGCTAACTCGCACCAACTATGGCGAGTGGGCGTTGACCATGAAAGTCAAGCTCAGAGCCCGACGGCTCTGGAATGCCATTGACAAGGGCACCGACAACGAAGAAGACGACATGTCAGCGTTGGAGCGTTGGAGGCTATCCTCGCTGCTGTGCCAGCGGAGTACAGGGAACCATTGGGGACGAAGAACTTTGCTAAGGAGGCGTGGGACGCCATTGCAGCGATGCTCGTCGGCTTCGACCGCGCAAAGAAGGCGACGGCCCAGCTGCTGAAGCAGAGTACGCCAACCTCAAGTTCAAGGATGGTGAGTCAGTGGAGGACTTCTCCCTCCGCCTACAGTCGCTCATCAGTAAGCGGAGGAGCCACAACGTCACCATCGACGAAGAAGAGGCGGTCTCCAAGTACCTCCACTCCGTACCGGTGAAGTACATGCATATCGCTCTCTCCATAGAGACGATGCTGGACTTGTCCACCCTCACCATTAAGGATGTGACAGGCCATCTACGGGCGGTGGACGAGCGCATGGAGCAGTCCACAACAATGACTTGAAGGTGGAGCAACCCATCTGCTTGGCTACACGTCACACGGATTGACTATGGTTGTGGCATGCCCGGTATGGCCATCTCAGCTTCGATGCGCTCGGTCGGCTGGAGAAGATGGTCCGAGAGCTGCCCCACATCAAGCACGCAGGCGAGCTATGTGACAGCTGCCTGGCCGGAAAGCAGAGGAGGCTGCCGTTCCCAAAGGTGGCCAAGTATCGCGCGGCGGACGCTCTCAAGCTCGTCCACGGCGATCTCTGTGGGCCAATCACGCTAGCCATAAACGGTGGTCGGCTGTACTTCCTCCTGCTCGTGGATGATTGCAGTCGCTATATGTGGCTGCAACTCCTGACTAGCAAGGACGAGGCGGCGGAAGCCATCAAGAAGTTCAAGGCGCGCACAGAGGCGGAGAGCGGCAAGAAGTTGCGCGTGCTACGGACTGATAGCGGCGACGAATTCACTTCGGTGGAGTTCGCTGCGTACTATGTGGATCATTGGTGGCATAGGGTCCTCAGGCCTGGCATGTCGGCTGCTCAATGACCCAGAGCTGCTTCTCGTCAGTGCAGAGGAACCACCCACATTCGCGCTGGCCGAGCGTGATGCAAATTGGTGACGGGTGATGCTGGAGAAGATGAAGGCGATTGAGGAAAACGAGACTTGAGAGCTCGTCGATCCACCTCCAAGATGTCGTCCGATCGGCCTAAGATGGGTGTACAAGGTCAAGCGGGACGAGTGTGGTGCCATTGTCAAGCACAAGGCGCGCCTCGTCGCCCGAGGCTTTGTCCAACACGAGGGCATCGACTTCGAGGAAGTCTTTGTGCCGGTAGCACGCATGGAGTCTATGCGTCTACTGCTGGCTTTGGTAGCAGCGAAGGACTTGCGCGTCCATCACCTGGACATAAAATCGGCCTTCCTCAACGGCGAGCTGACGGAGACGGTCTTCGTTAGGCAACCTTCGGGTTTTGCTGTCAAGGGAGCTGAGCACAGGGTGCTCCGACTGCACAAGGTGCTCTACAGGCTGCGGTAGGCCCTGCGAGCGTGGAACGCGAAGCTTGACGTCACGCTGGGCGAGCTTGGGTTCATGCGGTCGCAACCGAGCACGCGCTTTACATGCGGCGATGGGGGAAGGGGGAGCTCATCGTCGGTGTGTATGTGGACGACTTGATCATCACCGGCGCGCATACAGAGGAGATCAACAGCTTCAAGCGTGAGATGGCGGCTCGTTTTTGAATGAGTGATCTCGGTGCGCTCTTCTACTATATCGGCATCGAGGTGAGACAGGGGAAGGAGGCGCTCACGCTCGGTCAGAGCGTGTACGCCTAGCAGCTATTGGAGCGGAGCGACATGGCTGAGTGCAAGCAGTGCATGACTCCGATGGAGGGGCGGCTGAAGCTGACGAAGGCCAGTACTACGACGAAGGTAGATGCAACACTGTACTGGAGCATCGTCGGCGGTCTGCGCTACCTAGTCCACACGAGGCCGGACATTGCGTTCGCTGTGGGCTACGTCAGCCGCTTCATAGAGAATCCTCGAGAGGATCACTAGGCCACGGTGAAGTGGCTGATGCGCTACATCAAGGGGACGGTGGATCAGGTGATCGTCTTCCCCAAGACCGATGGAAGTGGGTTGTAGCTCACTGTGTTCAGCGATATAGACATGGCGGGGGACATCGACGGACGGTGGAGCACCTCTGGCGTGCTCGTCTTCCTCGGGTCAGCTCCAATCTTATGGTTGTCACTGAAATAGAAGGTGGTGGCGCTATCCATGTGCGAGGTAGAGTACGTGACGGCGGTCACAGCGGCGTGCCAAGTTGTGTGGCTACGCCGGCTGCTGGGCGAGCTGACCGGTGTGGAAGCTCACCCACCAGCACTGATGGTGGACAACCAGCCCACCATCGCCCTCACGAAGAATCTGGTTCTCCACGACCGGAACAAGCACATCGACCTCAAGTTCCACCTCCTCAGGGACTGTGTCGATGGAGGGCAGATCGTCATCGAGTTCGTTGAAACTGGTTGACAACTCGCGGACGTCCTCACCAAGCCGCTCGGCCGTCTTGGGTTCACGGAGCTAAAGAAGATGATCGGCATGGTGGAGGTTCTAGAGGTAGCAGCAGGATTATGGGAAGAATTGTAAAGTAATCTGCTGCTCTCCCTCTGTACGCGCAGCAGGGACAGGCATCGAAAGGGCTCCCCTGCTGCTGCACTGTAGCCGCGGCAGGGGCAGGCGCCGAAAGGCTCCCCTGTCGCACTGTAGCCACAGTAGGGACATGCGTCAAAGTCAGTCTTGTTATCACATCTAGTCACTGTAGCAGCCTGGGAGCCTGGCATGTCTGTGTATTATGATTAGATGGGTAGAGTTGTATATATAGCTTCCCACTGCAACTCAGTGAAGAGAGAGAGAGTTCAGTTTTGCCATCTCCTCTGCAGAGCTCCGGCCAACGCTGGTGCTTGTGCTGTGTGTGTGCGCTCTGTTCTCCCTCACTCTTCTACCTCTAGCCGTAGTGTGTGTGCGAGAACGCCGGTGAGCGGTCGGCTCACCCGTGCGGGAGATCTCGGGACCAACATTCTTTGCACTTGTGAGCATCACTCTATTAGTATCTTCTAAATCAGCTAAAATTGCTCGAAATAAGGAACTGCTCCTTGTAGGTCCTATAGTTATTTCCACTATTGTTTGATTTCATTCTGTTATGTTGATAGCACTACTTAGCTGAATAATTTGTGTCTTTGGTTGTGCTTTGTGCCCTTTGCAGCCTGGAATGGAAGAAGGTCGCAATTGCTATGCAGATGAGCATTATCTACCGACACTATTCCACGTTAGTAGTGACCACATAGTGTCATTTTATATTTTTAAAGAATCTGATTGTCAATAATATCTTCTATAGGTACTGATGTCAAGGCTGTCATATGTACTGAACAGATGATGGACCCTGCTGGCATTGCTAACTGGTCAGTCACCTACGTTGATTGGTCTGAAGGAAAGTGGCATCCCAGATCTTTCCGAGCTAAGGATGTCACTTATGAACGCCTGAAGAATATGACTGTACGTTTACCTTTATTTTGTGTCATCTTAACATGATAAATATGATCCTTTTATGCTTCTAACTTCCATTTTGCTGCAGTCAATTGATGTGAGCTACCACATCACCAGTGATGAGAAGGTCTCTTCCTCCCGTGCTATCTGAATTAATTTAATCATTGATGATTTATTTGAAAGACAAGCCTGAAAATTGCATTTATTTACTGAATTAATTATACTACCATGTTGTTTTTCAATTTATCATATATGTTGCATTATTTGCACATGATAAGTTGGGATAGGATATATATATATATTTCGGTTACCCAGTGCACAATCTATAGAGTGAATTACGGTAAACTACTGTTAGGCTCTGAAGCGTATAGTCCTATCAGTTCCGTCAAGCTGCAAATCAAGCAAAGTGCACACTCATCATTGCCTGAAGTTCATGTGTCATACTTTTATTTTGATTCCTAGTGAGAGAGATCTGTTCTCCCATTTTTCCTTTGGTGTGTGGTTTAAAAAATCTTCAGCCCACGTTCTCTTTTCAGTTGCAACCTGCGTGGAGTAATTGTGTTTTCTTTTATGTCAACTTAACTATTGGGAGAAACACTGGACGTCCAATGCTTATGTTCTTGTTGTTGACTGCAGAAAGATCTCTTGCAGAGGCCTTGCATGTGGAATGGACTCAAGAGACCATGCTATTTGTTTGCAAGGAAATTTTACCCTGAAGCATTAGACAATCTTGTGAACTTATTCTCAAACTACACAATTTTCTGAGTTCTACAGCAGGAAGCATACACATTTTCGGAAGCATTGGTGTTTATGTTCGTTGTAGATTGCTGGAGGAGCAGACATATTGACACTAACTCGATCAGTATATAATAGGGAACAAGTATTAGACAATTGTTTCACCGATAAACTGTTTTAGGATTATATTATTTTATATAGGTTTCAGTGTTACTCTTTTTTTTGTGTCTCCTGGCGATAGCTAATTATGTGAAAACTATCATTACATTAATCCTTGCTCAAAAGAATGTGTAAAGAAATTTTCCATGTGTGGTCCATGATGCAGATGCCCTTCACTGAATGTGCAAAGATGGATTGTAACTGTATGACGGTATCCAAAAACATATCTTGGTGATGGCTTAAAGCACTAATGGTATCGTTATGAGTGTACAAGCCAAAACTATGAAAACCTAGAAGTATGCGCATACCCAATTAAAGGGGGATATGATTGCATCATAGTGTCTAACAAGGACACAATCTAATACATCATGTTATCGAGTAGTTGGTCATAGTCTCTTACCATAAAAATGGATGCATGTGCAGCCACAACAAACTATTAGAAACCTGGCAATCCACATGAGGTGTGTGAACAAGGGAAGTTATTTCTTCCCTGTCAACCACTATGACTAAGACAACATGACAAATCAAGACCTAGAAATGATAACCGACATGCTTCTGTACCCAGAGATGCTTTGTCCACAATGAACGAAGAAAATAAATCAATTAAATAGTTGTAGCCCCTGTATTCAGATTCAATAGTAGTAGATGCATGTAGTTCTTAATTAGATATACCTCTTTTCCAATTAATACATCGGATTCATAACCTTGGATCAAGGCCTATTCAGGGGAAACTATTAAACCCTAGGTTGTGTGGATATAATCTCAGCCAACATATGCAACGCAGTACTTTTGCTAATACATGCAAATGCATATCATATTTTGTCTATCTATCAATAATTGAACGCACCAGTAGGTGAATGTCAAGAAGTAGTCTGTTGTCAAGGCAATAATATGAGCCAGTCTGGTATTTGCTGTAAAACCTCATATTAATTAAGTAGTCATGCATTACAATAGTTACTCCAAATTTCCTTGCAAACACATCTCTCTTAATCATTTCTTTGCTTGTATCTGAAATCACATTCAAGTAATGCCCCTTGATTTCACCCATTTTGGCTTGTGCTTTATAAATTGCTTCTGCACAAAGGATAAAATAATCTATCTAGTGCATAAATGGCTGTGGTTTGAATTTTGGTAAAATCAAGTTCAACATGTAGACACTCAGCAATCCGCGTGCTATATCACAATTTATTTTTGGAAATAATGCCAATATTTTGTTTTGTAACGACCCGAGTTCATTACAATATAGGCTCTTAATTTGGACCATCAGAGAAACACCTTATCAAGTTCCTGTGGAGATCCCTAGTGCCTTGAGCAAGATCAAATGTTATGAGATCATCAGTCAAACCTCGCAAATATCCCTTGATAGGCCCGATCAGGTCAGGTTAGTGATCGGAGAAATGGAGAAACTTCTACACATGTTGGAAGGCAATCAATTGACATCATCAACACCAGCTCAAACCCAGTGAATATCCTAGGATGTGATATCTTGGTCTCCAATACCAAGTCACTCAATTACTTAGTCAATTCAGCACAGACAGGGAATTACCGAAGACTCCGCCAACTAGCCCATAGATCACCGGACCGTCCAATAGATCACAGGACAACAGGAATAAGTGGGAAATGAGTTGCTTTCCACTTGTGTACATTGGACCCACATGTCAGCACGAGAATGAGGTATTCACCAGCTAAAACCACTCCACCTCACTCACTGTCTCACTCACTCATTCATTTGCAACTCTCCCTCTCTCTCTAAAACTCAAGAACAAAGATGAACCCTAAAACTAGAGAGAGAAAGGAGAGTTTGGATTGAAGAAGGAAAAGTAGAAGAAGAAGGGAAGCACCAGCATCACCTCATGGACATCTTCAACACCTTCAACCCCATCCATGGTTAGCTCAAGATGAGTAACTTTCATTTCTTGGATTCTTCTCAAAGGCCTAATTCGTGGGTTTTGGTGAAGACTTGAGGTTTCTTGCTGGTGGTGGTTCCATCATCTGTAGAGTAAGTTCAAGAGATCTTTGTCTAGCTCAATCACCCTATCATCCTATGGTTGGTCTCTTGATTCATCTTTTGGAACATTTGCAAGAGGAAGCTTATGAGAAGCCAATCTCCCTTTGGATGTGTAAACAAGGACATAAGGAAGTTAGGTCTTCAAGTTTTTGGCTACGAAAGCTCTCAAATCTCAGAGCTAAGTTCTCAATCTCAATCTCATGCATGGTTTATTCTCTAATTTCTCATGTTTTTGGTTTAATATCCAAACCCATAGTTACACTTAGTAACCCTAGCTCAAAACCTAGTTATCTTGAGCCTAATGAGTCACCTAAGCTATCCTTGGAATCCCTTACACATGCATGAATCATAGCCTAGCACATCTAGGAGTGACACCCAAAGAAACCCATGAAAAGCTATGAACATAGGTTTTGTCGACAATTTAACGGAGAGTCCGTCAGATCCGACGGAGAGTCCATTAACCCTAGGAAGATACCCAACAGAACCTTTTGTAATCTTTCGAAGTGTACCGATGGAGAGTCCGCAAAATCCCATGGAGCATCTATCAATTTATAGAGTCAGTAGCCAGAGCACCTGGAAGCACCCAGCTTTCAGCAGAGAGTCTGTGACTTCCCATGGAGAGTCCGCTGAATTATAAACCTAGATGACCAAAGGACCGAGTGTCCCAGTTTGCACCAGAGCGTCCTATAAGTAAAATGGACCCTAGACCAATTTATTTTGGATTTTGGTGTTTGATGACCAACACAACTAAATTGGACTAATGAATTTGCAAGTAATTGTTTTGTAGTTCAATAGGGTGTAAGACATGACTTGGACGAAGGCAACATAATGATCCCATGATCAACACCATAAACAAGACTCTAGAAGCACAAGAGAAGAATCAAGATATCAAGCAAAGTCCAAGCACAAAGATTGGAACCAAGCCGGACGCAAGATCACGAAGAAACAAGCTCGGTAGAGGTGATCGAACACGGTCCTATGAGGACCAGACGCGTCCGATCAGTTGCTCGGCAACAGCAAGCGTCAGCCGCTGTGACCAGACGCTGAGCGAAGCAGTGACCATACGCACTGATGACACTGTTCTTCGTCACGACAATGTTTTCAGCGTGACTGGACGCAGCGGCACTGGACGACCGGACGCATAAAGTACAGAGTCCGATCGAGTCCAGACAGGTTCTAGAGCGGCGTCAGTGTGACCGGACGCGTCCGATCGATGATGACTGGACTCGGGAGTGCATCCTATCTCTACGCGCGCGCTCAACGGTCGAAACGACCGGACACGTCTGGTCAGGACGACAGCAGCGTCCAGTCAGTAGCAGAAAGCTGGGTTTCATCCCCAACGGCTACTTTCTCCATGAGGCTTATAAATAGACCCCAACCGACCATTTGATGTGTGGAGAGTTGAGGAAACATACCAAGGGTGTTGATACACTATTTTAGTGATCTCCACTTGTATAGTGCTTAGTGATTCATTAGGTGATTAGCGTAGGTGCTTTGCAAAGTGCTTAGGTTGATTAGACCACCACTTATGTGCTTGCTCTAGGTTTATGCCTAGTGTTTAGTGAGGTTTGCACACCTCTTATCACTCAGTACTTGCGTGCACCATTGTTGTACATCGGAGGGGCTTGTAGTCTTGCGAGATCACACCAACCACGTTTGTGGCGTAGCCGTCCCCGTGTACCGAAGGGAACAAGGCCCGCGGCGGTTCGGCCGGAAGCTTGATAGTGAAGACGGCGGGGAGCATCTGGGAGAGGCTTGCCGGAAGGCATGTCGCAGACTCACTTACGTGTGGGGAAGGCCCAAGGCTATCCACGGAGTTACCTAACCGGGAGCTTGGCCCTTGCGAGGGATTCCTTGCGAGGGGCTCCAACGAGGACTAGGGGGAAGCTTGCGCGCTTCTCGATACCTTAGTAAAAATACCGGAGTCATCGACGGGAGTTTACATATCTCTACCTTACTCTTTAGCTTCTGCATTTACATTGTTTGCATAACTCTTTTTACGGTAGAGATAGCAACACACTTGCAAAACCATAGTTGCACATTTAGATAGTTTATCTTTTTGCATAGGTTTTGCTAAGAATAGAAAAAAGAGGCCATAGTTTAGAGTTAGAGTTTTAAGTTGCCTAATTCACCCCCCTCTTAGGCGTCTCGGTCCCCTTCAATTGGTATCAGAGGTGGTTGGCTTAATTTGGACCTTTGGCTTCACCGCTGTTGAGCCACGCTATTTAGAGTGGTTGTGATAGATACCT